CACAAATACTGCTGAGAAAAGATACAAATATTCCTGCATTATATTTATCATTTTTTAGCCCAAGTTTGTTTGGTACTGGGAAGTGGTTAACAAAAATATATCTATTTGTATATCTGTTAAGCCATTCCTAATGCATTTGTAAAAACAGAGGTGGAAAATGGGTTAAACATTACTGGATGTTCCGAATTAAAGGAATGATATTTTAATTTTTAAAATGAAGGGATAGAGAAATAGTTGTGTAATCATCTCTAGTTATCTACTCAGTGCTAATATTTGTATAAAAGTATTTGTGTAATATTATGAAAAATGGTCAATTTTTTGACTTTTAAACCATACCATCTTATAAAATAAACGAATTAATTTATTTTTTATTCCTTTTTGTCACACTGACAAATCTTTTCTCTAAGCAAACTAAATATTGAATAAGAAATGTTCAGATCCTATAATACAGGGGTTCCCAAACTTTTTGACATGGGGACCAGTAAATCCATTCACGAACTTTTGGAGGACCAGTAATGTTCATTTGCATATTTGCATATTCATTAATCAAATGATGAATATTCAAATAAGTTGTTTCTGGTCCTCCCAAAACCCCCAGTGCCAGCTTTAGCAAAGCTTTTGATATGGTCGCCCACAATATTCTTACCAGCAAGTTAAGGAATATGGATTGCACCAGGCAGAACCGGGGGAGAGACCCAGCTGGCACTTCCGGGTTCAGGGGCGCGGGGCCTGAATCGGCCTGAGGCCGGCCCTGCCAGCAGCCACCAGCCATGCTGAGGCCCGGTATTTTTTTCACCCATAGTTTGGGAAACGCTGCTATAATATGCAAATGAAGGCCAAGAGGTTGGTTCTTAAATTGTGTTTCTTGTTACTATAAAAATTAGAGCATTAGCAAAAGTGGTGAATATCCAAACCTTTTTGTATACTCTAACAGTCAATAAAGAACTTGAATAAAAAAAAGTGATGTAATTTGAAAAGGTTACCTCTGTGTCACCTCCAAGAATTACACTGTGGTTTTCAGAAGTACAGTGGCCCTCTTACTCTTATTTTTGTATAGTGTAACAGTGGGGCAGCATGTTTTTGTTCTGCTACGATGTTGCACTTCTAACTTGCTCTAAAATTTGGCAGTAGATATGTTAGTAATCTGTTGTCACTGATAGTTAACAAAATCACATACTTATTCAGAGATGAATATACTGTGAAATATCTAAATAAGGCTGACTTAATTCCTGGAATATATTAACTACAAAAATCTTGAAATTGGGCTTTCTTGGAATGTCAGGAATTGTCAACAAATAATTTACTCAGTGGAGAATTGCGTGCACCTAGTAACTATAAAGAATTTGATGTTTGTATTAAACACTGTGGCATAGGTTCAAATTTTTCTAAAAAGTATAAAGATTTTGGAGAATACATTTTTCTTTGTCTTTTAAATGTTCACTTATAATAATGCTGGTTTTGTTACATGAGTAAGGGTTCTGTCTTCACATGAAAGGATGTCGACTTTTGTCTCTTAGTGATAGAATCAGCATGTAAGGTACTTAAATAATGTTTAGTTGTAATTGAAATACTTACCTCAGTTAACACTAGTTCTCAGACTCCTGAGTCTACTAGTTCTAGAAAATTGTACAACTTGCTATAAATTATTTGCTTTAAAATCTATTTGGCATGCTGCACTACTGTTGAGTTACAACACTGCTATTAAAAACACTTTTAAAATTCCTACTTTAAGAATATTCAGAATACATTAAAATGTTGATTTATTTTTACTGATGTATTACTTAAAGATGTTCTTATACTTTCTTATAATTTTTATAAAATTGAAAATTACATTTGTATCGAGCTAATACACTGTAATAGTGCCATATGGTCTTTTCAAAAACTTGTTCTGTTTGTGTTTAATATGTTTATATTAGTCTCTTGGTGGAAATTAAAATAATATTGAATAATCTTGACTGACTTTTTCTCCTGTACTCTTCTTTACCTTCCCCATTGCTCATTTAGTATGTAACTGAAACCTCAACAAAATAAACTCAATAGCAGCCTTAAGGATGTTTGGAAGTTAATTTCATCATGTTGTGCTTTAAAAATGAAAAGTAAATAGTTTAGGGCAGAGGCAGGCAAACTGTGGCCTGCGGGTCAGATCTAGCCCCAATGTTTGTGGCCCAGTGGGATCCTCAGGCAGACTCCTTCCTGCCACATTCCGCATGTCACTTAAAGCAGCTGGCTGCTGGGTGCACTCCATGGAGGGCGGGGGCAGGTGTGTGCTATCCCTCCCCAATCTCACAGGTCCCCTTGTCCAGAAACCAGTTTTTGTGTAACACCAAAAAGCGGAATTGAACCTGGGACCTCTGGGGCTTAGTGCATTAACTTCTATAGCAGGGGTTGCCAACCCGCGGCTCACGAGCTACATGCGGCTCCCCTCCTCCCCCGGAAAGTGCAGCTCGCGAAGCTGCCCATGTACCCCCCCCATCTCCAATGGTCCCTGGCTCCCCTGTGCTCACTGGCGCTGCCCCCAAGATGAACCCCGTGCTGATGCTACCTCCAGGGACTTCCTTCAGGGTGAGGGGAGTTCTGCAGCTGTGTGCCAGGTCCCAGAAGTACGCGGACTGCTCTCCCCCTCCTCCCCAACAGCCGGCGAGGTACCTAAAACGGCGGTCCATTGCATGCTGCAGACTTTGTTCACCTGCTGCCTTCCTGCACGTGGGGGGAGGCTGCTCCGGTGGAGCGTGCTGCCGTGGGGAACGCAGGAGCAAGGCACACGCTGCCCGAGCATTTGGGGCTGGCGTGGTCCAGGACTCCTCCTCACCCCCGTGTAGGAAGGTATCAGGAAGGTACCAGCGTTTCAGGTACTGCACCACTGTTTGGGGGGACGGGGGAGCAGCCCATGCACTTCCTGGACCTTGGTGCACAGCTGCAGGATCCCCAGGTGCCAGTCCCTGTTCTCTCCCCTCCTTTCCCCCCAGATCACCACAAGTACCCTGCCCCAGGACCCGTTGGCACCCTGTCCCTTGCCTCAGCACCATTTGGCCCCCTGCCCTGACACCCTGTCCCCTGCCCCAGGCCCCTGCTCCGACACCCACTGGCACCCTGTCTTCTGCCCCAGGCCCTTACCCTGTCCTCTGCCCCAGGCCCCTACCCCAGCACCCTGTCCTCTGCCCCAGGCCCCTCCCCCAGCACCCTGTCCTCTGCCCCAGGCCCCTCCCCCAGCACCCTGTCCTCTGCCCCAGGCCCCTCCCCCAGCACCCTGTCCTCTGCCCCAGGCCCCTCCCCCAGCACCCTGTCCTCTGCCCCAGGCCCCTACCCTGTCCTCTGCTCCAGGCCCCTACCCTGTCCCCTGCCCCAGTACCCTGTCCTCTGCTCTAGGCTCCTGCCCAAGCACCCAAAAGCACCCTGTTTGCCCCCACCAGCACAGTTGAGGCCACATTAGTGAGGCTTGGGGGATATTGGAGGGGGTTGTTTTTTTGCATCTCACTTGTGTGGCCCCAACTGACTTTTCTGTGGGTCAGTGACCCCTGCCTCAAAACAGGTTCCCTGCCCCTCTCAGAAATAAAGACAATGCCAAAACATTTTGTGTCTGACGTAATGCTTTACTTAAAAATGAAGCCTGGCCAATTGGGGCCAAGCCCCCATCTGGCCGCAGCATCATAACACTCGTGTACCTCTCCAGACTCCAAACCTGAGCCTGTCATACACTGAAACCACCTGTTTCAGAGTTCTGTCGACAGAAGGTGTTACGCCTCGTAAAATGAGGTTTACCAGCGTCGACAAAACTGCTGAGTTCTGTTGACTTTATGTCGACAGAACTCAGCGGTAGCGTAGACGCTGGTATAGTTTTGTCGACAAAAGTCCACTTTTGTCGACAAAACTAGGTAGTCTAGACACACCCTAAGTGTCTTTGAAGATCTGAGCCAATGGATCTAAGTTTTTCCATCCATAAAGTGGAGATTTTATTTACATCACAGGTGTGTTGGGAGGGTAAAAGAACCAAGTCCTAACTCCTCTATATTTGTGCTGGAAGGAGGGCACTCCACGCATTGGTCTTCCTTGTGTTGTCAAATGGGGAACTGAAGTTAGCTCCTCGAGTCCGACATCCACCCCTCAGCAAGAAGCAAAACCAGGGCAAGCTGGCGGAGTATTTTGGAGTTGAGTCATTACAGATGATACAACCTGAGGTTCTGTTACCTTTTGTGGTGTGCCCTTTCCCCGAGGTCTGCTGCATCTTGGGTGAGTCTCTTGTTTTGCAGCTCCAACAGTCATGCTGTCCGGTACCAGAAGGGTGGGCCTCTGGGAGCAGAGATATAGCGGTCCAATAAAGATGCTGGCTTTTGGGACTTCTGCTAGGTTTGTAATTGGCCTTGAAACGTACACCACAGGGACCAGGTGACCCCCCCCACCCCCCAGTTCCCCATGTCCACCCCAGTGAAAAAATAGGGACAAAAACTCCACAAGGAGTTTTACTGCAGGAGGTGGTGATCTGGGCTGTAAACATACATAAAGCACTTGGAGATTCCCTCTGGGAAAGCACTGGAGAAGTGCCCTTTTAGGTTAAGATTATTATCTCTAGAGAAGTAAATTAATTCTGGATTTAAACTATATCTCTTACAGTCTCGGCTGCTGTTGTAGGAATCCCCAGATGATACAGATTACTTATCAAATAAATGGGGTGTAAGAGATGAGCTGACTGATTGATTAATCATTGCCAAACGAATACATTCATCAGGACAGTAGCCTCCTAGATTACCTAATCGTGGAGTGTTATAGAAAGATTTATGGGAA